ATAACTTCTCACTGTAAAAAACAGCTCGAATTGTGGCTGAGTGAAGACAAAGGATTTCTTCAATCCCAGGTAGTTCCTCTTAAAGGGTCATACACAGACTTACTTGGACTCACTCCTTCTGAGTTCCAGTTCTGGGATATCAGCTCCAAAGGCACCAGAGACATACAGGGAGAAACTGATATTCCTGACATCAGTGCAAGAGATGGAGGGGCAGCTTTCCACCAGACAGAAGTGCTGACAGAGGCTACTGGTCCTTTGATGGGCCCTCCCTTCACAGACCCAGCAGGCTGTCAAAATACCTGAGGCTCTAACAACCTGGCTAACACATTTATCCCTGCCCTGGTAATTACATGAGGCCCTACCCCACCCAATTTGCAGTTCCACCAAAGATGGTTTCCAGTGGCTTTTCTAGATGATTAGACTGTTTTAGCTCATGCTTCAGACTTTCCTAAAATCTCTCAAGCAAGCAGCATCTGGCCTCAGAGTGCCCCATACCTCTGACTAAGTGGCCCAAGGACCAACACTAGTCATAGCCACCTCATAGGCTGGCCTCTCCTGGACACCTCCAAGCCAAGAACAAGTAGCAGCCATTTGCAGACCACTATGTAGCTCATGCCAGGTGACTCCTGGCAGGACACAGGTGCCAGTGCACCCAGTGTACAGCTTAAGACCACGTTGAAGCACCCTGCAACCTCCTCTACAAGAGACACTCTCAAGGGCAGACACAATGAGCACCAAAGCCCCACTGAAGTAAGTCCTGCTCCATGGGGTGGGCGCCTGTAAAACAGAATCTTCATGGTGATCAAAGCCAATCCTAGCAGCTGATTGGCCTGGGGACAAATCCCTCCCACTAATGTGCCAACAGCAATCAAGACTCAATCAAGACTCAACTACAACAGAAGGGTGTACACTGCCTACATGGATGCTTACCTTGAGTGTCTAGCTCAGGTGAAGAAGGAGACCATGCCACTGGACCCTATAGGAGACCTACTACATTAGGCCACTCTACCAAGCCTGGGAGATGTAGTATCTCCACTTAATACAAACAATCAAACACAGGGAGTCTATCAAAATGAGGAGACAAACATGTCCCAAATGAAAGGACAGAACAAAATTCCTGAAAAAGAATTCAATGAAATGAAGACAAGCAATCTACCAGATGTGGAGTTTAAAACACTGGTTATAAGGAAGCTGAAGGAACATAATGAGAACTTCAACAGCATAAAAAAAAGACATGGAAATCATAAAAAGACCCAGTCAGAAATGAAGGATACACTAACTGAAATGAAGAATAATTTATAGGTAGTTATCAACAGAGTAATGAAGTTGAGAATCAAATCAGTGATTTGGAATATAAGGAAACAAAAGCACCCAATCAGAACAGCAAAAAGAAAAAAGAATCCAAAAAAATGAGGATAGTTTAAGGAGACTCCGGGACAACTTCAAACATAACAACATCTGCATTATGGGGGTGTCAGAAGAAGAGAGAATGAAATTGAAAACCTACTTCCGGCCAAGATGGAGGTGTAGGTAGACACACTGTGCCTCCTTGCACAACCAAAAGAAGGACAACAACAATTTAAAAACAAAAAACAACCAGAGCTGACAGAAAATCAAACTGTATGGAAGTCCGACAATCAAGGAGTTAAAGAAGAAACATTCATCCAGACCAGCAGGAGGGGTGGCTGGTGGACCCAGCAAGGCTGCCGATTGTGGAGCAGACGCACAAGGCTGCAGCTGGTAGGCAAGACTGCAGTGGGCAGACACAGCGAGGTGGTGTTTTGCAGACTAGGCAGTCCCACATTCATGTGCAGAGAAACCAGAAGAAACAACTGGGGAGCCAGACGGACTGAGCAACCCAGGGCCCCAGTGCAGAGAAATAAAGCCTCAAACTACCGATTGAAAACAACTGTGGGGGTTAAGGGAGAAGCCGGAGAAACTCCCAGACTCACAGGAGAGTTCATTAGAGAGACCCACAGGGTCATAGAACATACACAAACCCACCCACACAGGAATCAGCACCAGAAGGGCCCAAATTGCTTGTGGGAAACAGAGAAAGTGACTGAAATCTGGCAGAGAACGGGGCAAGTGCCATTGTTCCCTCTTGGACCCCTTCCCAACATACGGTGTCACAATCCAGCAACCTGGGTTACCTGCCCTGGTGAACACCTAAGGCTCCACCCCTCACCACATAACAGGTGCATCAAGACAAAAACAAAATTGCCCAAATGAAAGAACAGATCAAAGCTCCCAAAAAAAAAATACAACTAAGTGATGAAGAGATAGCCAACCTATCAGATGCAAAGTTCAAAAACACTGGTAATCAGGATGCTCACAGAACTGGTTGAATATGGTCACAAATTAGATGAAAAAATGAAGGCTATGCTAAGTGAAATAAAGGAAAATGTACAGGGAACCAATAGTGACGGGAAGGAAACTGAGACTCATATCAATAGTGTGGACCAGAAGGAAGAAAGAAACATGAAACCAGAACAGAATGAAGAAACAAGAATTCAAAAAAAATGAGGAGAGGCTTAGGAACCTCCAGGATATCTTTAAACATTCCAACAACCAAATTATAGGGGTACCAGAAGGAGAAGAGGAAGAGCAACAAGTGGAAAACTTATTTGAACAAATAATAAAGAAGAACTTCCCCAAGCTGGCAAAGGAAATAGACTTCCAGGAAGTCCAGAAAGCTCAGAGAGTCCCAAAGAAGTTGGACCCAAGGAGGAATACACCAAGGCACATCATAATTACATTACCCAAGATTAAAATGAAGGAGAGAATTCTAGAAGCAGCAAGAGAAAAGGAGACAGTTACCTACAAAGGAGTTCTCATCAGACTGTCAGCTGATTTCTCAAGGGAGACCTTGCAGGCAAGAAGGGGCTGGAAAGAAGTATTCCAAGTCATGAAGGGCAAGGACCTACATCCCAGATTGCTCTATCCAGCAAAGGTTTTATTTAGAATGGGAGGACAGATAAAGTGCTTCTCAGATAAGGTCAAGTTAAAGGAGTTTGTCATCACCAAGCCTTTATTATATGAAATGTTAAAGGGATTTATCTAATAAAAAGAAGATAAAAAATATGAACAGTAAAATGACAGCAAACTCACAATCATTAACAACCACACCTAAAATAAAAACAAAAGGAAACTAAGCAAACAATTAGAACAGGAACAGAACCATAGAAATGGAGATCACATGGAGGGTTAGCAACAGGAGAGTGAGAGAAGGAGAGAGGGGGGAAAGGTACAGAGAATAAGTAGCATAGATGGTAGGTAGAAAATAGACAGGGGAGGGTAAGAATTGTATGGAAAATGTAGAAGCTAAAGAACTTATATGCACAACCCATGGACATGAACTAAAGGCAGGGGGGATGTGGGTGGGAGGGGGTGTACAGGGCAGAGGGAAGTGAAGGAGGGAAAATGTTACAACTCTAATAGCGTAATCAATAAAGTACATTAAAAAAGGAAATTGAAAACCTATTTGAAAAAATAATGACAGAAAACTTCTCTAACCTGGTGAAAGAAACAGATATACAAGTCCAGAAAGTGCAGAGTTCCAAACAAGATGAACTCAAAGAGACCCAAAATGAGACACATCATAAATAAAATGCCAAAGGTTAAAGACAAAGAGAGAATCTTAAAAGCATGAAGAAAAAAACAGATAGTTACCTATAAGGGAGCACCCAAAAGACTGTCAGCTGATTTCTCAACAGAAATTTTATAGGCCAGAAGGGATTGGCCAGAAATATTCAAAATGGTGAAAAGAACTCATAACCAAGATTACTCACCAGCAAAGTTATCATTTAGAATTTTCTCAGACAAGGAAAATCTAAAGGAGTTCATGACCACCAAACCAGTATTACATGAAATGTTAGAAGGTCTTCTTTAAGAAGAAGAAGAAGAAAGATAAGAAATATGAAAAATAAAATGGCAATAAATATGTATTTATTAACAATTAAATCTAAAAACAAGATAAATGAACAAACAGAACAAAAGCAGACTTATACATACAGAGAAACACTTTATGGTTAGAGATGGGAGGGGTTTTGGGGATGGGTACAAATGGTGAAGGAATTCAAATTGGTTGTTAAAGAATAGTCATGGGGATATAAAGTACTATATAGGGAATATAGTCAGTAATATTCTAATAACTACATATGGTGTCAGATGGTTATGCGAATTATCAGAATGATCACCTAGTAAGTCACATAATGTCTAATCACTGGGCTGTACACTGAAACCAATGTTATATTGTATGTCAGCTATAATTGAAAAATTTAAAAATGGTTTAAAAAAGTAACCCAGAAAATATGATCTTTATATGTACCAGCATTGCTATGATTAGCACTTAAAATCCATAATAATGTAAATAGTAGACTGTGATTAAATCAAAACTATGATTTTGGAGAGACAGATTGGGAGATGGGAGATATGTATGTGCACTCATATGTGTTGGATTCAGGATCAAAAAGTATTAAATTTTTATCATCCTGGTGAGAAGATATTGGTAAGTTTTAAACTTTAAAAAACAAATAATGAAATAGCAATAGAAATATATTTGTTAGAGACACAAAAGAAACACCAAAGGAAACTGCAAAAGAAAAGTGGATTCCTCTAGGAAGAGGGAAAATAGGAAGCAGGGCAAGAGACTCCTTTTTTTAAAGGTATGAGCCTTATAAAATCACTCGACTCTAAACACTTTGGCAGTAACTTTCATAAAAATAAAAACCCTAAGTATAAATTTATAAATTTATACAATTCTGACTATAAATGGGAAAGAAGAGTTGGGAATGACTGGAATTCAGGGTATAGGTAGAAATATTATAGAGAGTATAATTTGATAGAAACAGGAAGGAAAAAACTCAAGGTGTAGGTGAGATTTTTAAGGAAGAGAATGCTAAAAGGATTTCAGTTTTCTTCTGGAGCCAAGGTAGCCTCATGACCATTTGGGCTGGCACCTTATAACAGTCCACCCTTCCCAGTTTCTTGTTACTCACCTGTATATTGACCATCTGACATCTCTCTTTTCACCATCCAAGGTTCTTTCCCTTGCTCCAATAAGGAGATCATGTTGGGCTTGGAAATCGAGAGTCCTGTTTACAGAAGAAGAATGAGAGCAAGAGAAAGACAGAACATGCTACTCCTATTCCAGAATTTCACACCCAATCTCCTGGTCATCAGGCAAGAAAAGACATCATAGGAAGGGCTAGAGAATGGAATGATGTTTGCATGAAGGTTGAGCGAGATGAAACTTCTTTCATAGCAGTGGTTCTCAAAGTGCTAGAGCAGAAGAACCATCACCTTAGAACTTGTCAGAAATACATATTCTCAGTCCCTACTCCAGACATATTAATCAGGAGTCACAGTGGTTCTCAAACTTTCACGGGCATCAGAATCATTTGGAGTGCTTATTAAAACCCAGACTACTAAGCCTATCCCCAGAGTTTATGATTTGGTAGGTCTAGAGTAGAACCCCATAACTTGCAATTTAATAAATTTCCATGCCATACTGTTGCTGCTATTCCAAACCATTATTCTATAGCAAAGAGAGTTACTAATTTATAATTCTATAAAACTACTGCAAATCATTTCCTGGGGACAGAAGTAGCAATTCAGCTAAGTACGTAAATGTCTTAGATATTCCCAATGGAGGAAGCAAAAACACCCCCGAGGGAAGATTTTGATTTATTGGAGAGGGCATCCTTACCAAGCAATACCAAATTCCTGTAGTTCTCCAACATGACATCTCTGTATAAATCCTTCTGAGATGGGTCCAGCCATTCCCACTCTTCTTGGGAAAAATCTAGAGCCACATCCCTAAAGGTTACCAACCCCTGAAATTTAGAAAAAAATCTAAGTGGTATAAGGAAAATCATTATTGGGGAACAAGTACATGCCTTGATTTTTCAAGTATTTAAGAGAAAAAGAAATACCAAAAGCAGTCTTACTTTTTGAAAATATACATTTTTGTGAAAGACAAAGGACATACACACAGGAAAAGAATTAGCTTATAGAATGAATCATGAGTTTTATGACATAAAAGTATATGAGTAAAGGCAGAGTTTTATGTTACATATACTAAGTATCAAGTCATTCTTATAGAAAGCATTTTTTGTAGTCCCCAAACTGGGATCTCATCTGCCTCAGAGTAGTGAAAGAAGCATGGGATTGGGCTTTAACAAAAGGGTATGGTCTGCAATTTAGACTCTATACATGAGAAACTTCCAGGAGAGTATCTTGAAGAAATAATGAAGTATATATGAAGAGATTTCTATATGAAGAGATTTCTGGAAGGTAATATAAAAAAATCTAGAAAAAAACTTACATGTCCAAAACTTAGAGTTGAAGCTATACCACTGATCTATATAAGCTGTATGAGGAGAAGGATATATGTTTTATAAGCTCATATATATCCAGTATCTATTATAAAATCTGTCACATTATAAATACTCAGGAAATAGTTGCCACTTAGTGAATAAATGATGAAAATTTCTATGAAACATCCATTGAAGGAAGAATACTCAATGCTTAAAAATGACAAGTTCCATTTTGCATAGAATGGTCTCATTTTTATTAAAAATAATAAAATATCAAATGGTTACTCTACACATTAAAAATACAAGTAAGTGTGGCTAGAGAAAAAAAATACATTACATAATGCTGTATAACTTCCATGTGCCCCTCTACACTTGTGTGTTGTGGGAGGATAACCTGTATTGATTACACCATGTGACTCCCTTTTCCCACCCCATTTTCAGTTGGGTTAAACCACATGCAAAATATGGGAGGGAGTTGAGCAAGGCACAACAGTTATTCCCCTGTCTCCCTCCTTGCAGCACCAGCCACAGTGGTCTCTTTCCTTCAATCAAAAGTCACAGTGGCTGTCAGGGGACCTCCCCATTCAGCCATCTCTTTCTCCAGGTTCAGGCCTAAACTTAGTAGGGGAACTCTGCTTTTACCCCAGGGTATAGCACTATTCTTTGTAGTTTCTCTATATACTTGTAAATGGGTCCCTTTAGGGTTTCTTGCCAGAACCCTGACTGATAGACATGTTGATTCAGTGTACTGCTAGGATATGACCAGAGATGATCCCACAAAAGCACCACTAGGCAATTCTAATATACTTTCTCATAAATTCACTCTCTCACTCCCCCATGACTATTTCACACCTGATATCTCTCGAACTACCACCAAGTTCTCCCCTGTTCTCACTTTGAACTTCCTTATCCTCTAGTCCCTGATATGTGTTTACTGACCAGGATCTGTACTCATATATTTGGCCTTCACTTTGCCACTACAGATAAAACTCTAGGATTCCTAAGACCAGTCACTCCACTTGTCCATACAAGGACATTGTCTCCTCTCTTCCTAGTAAACATCATGGAGATATCAGATATCTCCCTTGTATTACCAATATTTTCTCACTCTACTGGATTATTTCTATTAGTATATAAACTGATGCAATACCCTCCATCTATAAATAGAAAGGCAAGTTCCTTTCCATGATCTCACTTTAGTTATTGTCCCATTTCTCTCTTTGTAATAACAAAACATTCCCAAAGAGTTGTTTATATCAGTAATATCCAACAGAATACAATGTGAGCCACTTATGTTATTTAAACCTTTTCAGTAGCTACATTAAAAAGTATATATAATAAGTTCGATTCCCAGTCAGGGCACATGCCTGGGTTGCAGGCCAGGTCCCCAGTGGAGGGCACACAAGAGACAACCACACATTGATGTTTCTCTCCCTCTCTTTCTCCTTTCCCTCTCTAAAAATAAATAAACAAAATATTTTTTAAAAGTATATATAATAAGTAAAGTTAATTTAATAATATTTTTATTTGACCCCAAAATACAGAAAATGTTATTTGAACCTGTAATCAATATAAAATTATTAATGCTTTACATTCTTTTTTAATACTGAATCTTCAAAATCTGGTATGTGTTTTATACATATGTAGCACATATCAATTTGGAGTAGTCATTGTGGCAACTGGGTACATTACTGGACAGCACAGAAAATAGAGACTCATTGTCTCTATTCTTACTTTTTTTTTGCCTTGTATTCTCTTTTAAATCTATTACAGTGATGCTTTCTTCTCAACCTCTCTGTAAACCAGCTATTTGCAAGAGCATTCGTAGCTTCCATGTTACCAAATCCAGGAGCCAGCTCTCAGTCTTCATCTTCCTCAACCTCTCTCAGAAGGATTTAACTCAGTTGATCATCACCTCTTTCAAGATTTTCTGCTTTTCACTTCCAGAACCCTTACTCTTCAGGTTCTCCTTCTGCATCAGTCCTTCTCAATCTCTTTTGCTGGTTCTTCCTCTACTTGTCAGCCTCTAAATGATGAATGCCCGAAACTCAGTCCTTGGCCCTTTTTCCTATTTACATTCACCACAGTCCTATACTTAAAATAATCTCATCCTGTCCTATTGCTTAATTTTTTTTTAAATTTCTTTATAAAGAAAGGGGAATTGAGAGAGAAAGACAGGGAGAGAAACAACAATATGAGAGAGAAACATGGATCAGTTCCCTCTCATATGCAACCCAACTGGGGACCGCACCCTGACTGGGGACTGAACCCGCAACCTAGGCATGTGCCTTGACTAGGAATTGAACCAGCAACATTTTGCTTTCTAGGGCAATGCCCAATCAACTGAGCCATTCTGGTCAGGGCTGTCCTATGGCTTTAAATACATAATGAGGCTCAAATTCACATCTTCAGTCCTGAACTTCAGATATATAATCCATATTCTTCTTGGATATCCAGCAGGACTCTCAAACTTAATATATATAGAATTCAATTCTTAATTTCTGTCTTATCCCACCCAGTATTTTAATCTCAATAAATGTCATGACCATTAATACAGTTTCCCAGATCAAAAATCTTTGTAATCATCCATGACTGCTTTCTTCCTCTCACATTTCACAACCAAGCCCAGAATCTCACCAGCTCCAATGGTACCACTATGGTCCAGGCAGCTATAACCTTCCAAATGGATTATTGCAGTAGACCCTGAATGGTCTCCCTGCTTCCTCCCTTACTTCCCTGCTACCTCTTTTTCTTTTAAAACATAAATCAAACAAATCAAAAATACTCCAATGGCTCTCCTTCACCCTTAGAACAAAACTCAAAGTCCTAATCATGACCTTCAAGGGCCTATATAATTTGTTCTAGATACTCCTCTGACCTCACAGTGCTCATCTGCTTCACACAATACTGGCTCATTGCTATTCCAGGTACAGATCAAACATACTTCCACCATAAGAACTTCCTACTTGCTATTGCTTCTAATATTAAAGCTCTTCCCTAGATCTCCACAAAACTTACTCCTTACTTTCACTGAAGTGTTTCTTTGCTTAAATGTCACTTCCTCAGGAAGACCATCCTTGACCTCCCTATTTAATAAGACACTCGACAATCACACTCCATCCTTTGTTTCACTTGCATTCATCTCCAATACAACAGATCATGACCCATCAAATGAGGAGAGTTTCATCACACACCTGAGCATAACTGTGAGTAAAAGAGATACTACACGTTTTATGGAAGGATCATATGGACAAATGGTGGAGAAAGAAAAGTGAAGAGAGTGCTCACTGGGCTATCTGTGACTCTCCCAGTAGTCCTTCCATGGGGGAGAAAAAAAAGGGGTGAAATTTCTCAAAACAAAATAAAAAAAATCAGCTTACCTGGGACATGGACTTACAAAGTCCAACAGCCATTCTTCCTTCCGTCTTCAATTTTCTCTTTTAGAGAACAAGGTCCTGAGAAGGGAGAGTTGAGGAAGAAAAAATGGCAGACCATCCCATTGCTGCTGATCTGAGACTTAAAAAGCTAGAACTATTGCCCCTTTTATGGTCCCCACAGTCTCAGCTCTACCCACTTCCAGGATCTGAGAAAAGGTCAAAGCTGATCTTAATCCCTGAAGTCCTGACTGATAATAAGAATACAAAGTTTGAATTCACTAAAAGCTACAGTCCATCCTATGGTCAACAAGGCAGTTTATGATCTGGTTATTGCTGCCACGTAGGCCTCATTTCCTACCTTTCTCTCCCTTGCTCACCCCAGTGTAGGCTCACAGGTTTCCTTATAGTTTCTCAAACTGTGTGCACTCTTTTTTCAAGGCTGTTGCCTTTCTTTTTCCCTTTCTTGGCTCAGTGCCTTTCTTCATTCCTATTTATGCTTAGTTGTCACCACATCAGAGGGACTTCCCTAAAATTTCTATCTAAAGAGACCCTCCCTTCCAGTCTCTTTTTCCTTATTTTGATTTATTTTTCTTCTTTGTATTTAACATCATCAAATATGGTACTTATTTACTTTTCCCACTTACTGTTGTCTTTCCAATCAATAGTATAACATCTAAGAGAGCTAGAACTTATTGGTTCCATAGGTGCCATATTTTGTCATGCATGATGTTCACTTTTTGCTCAAAATTTTGAGGGAAAAATAAGGATGTGCATTATACATGGGTAGTATCAATGCCCATGTACCAATAATGAAAACTATACATGGGAATTAGTACTAAAACATGGGTGCACTTTATACATGGCAAAATATGGTATATCTCTAATTTTAGAATAAAGCTAAACCATTGTAAGTGCTCAAAAAATATTTGATAAGCAAATAAAATAAATCTTACTGTGCCTCCTATAATATAGTATACATGTTATATATACCATTACCTTATTTAATCATCATAGAGCTGCAAAGGTAGGTGTTATTATCCCCATTTCACCAACTACTGAAATTAAAGTTCAAAAAGCTTAAGCAATTAAGTCTTTAAAATCAGACTGCAGTGTGACTTAAAAACTTTTCTCTTTCAAGAGACCACAATGTCTGAATGTGAAATATTCAACATAAACTGAGAAATCAATGCCATATGTTTCTTAGAGAAGCATCTTTAAGAGATGGCAGATTTTAGCATTATTAGTCCACAGAAATGCAGCCTGAGGCAATCCTCACCAAATTTTAACACTACACCAATAACAAACTCCACAGCCTCACCTATGTTCCTTGTACTGTCAGAGCCAACATTTCTTCATCCTGAAAATGAGAATAGTTGTGTTTGACCTAGAATTTAGGATACATGACCCCTAACTCTGGGCTACTCTACACTAGCCGGCCCAGTTCTAACAAAGTTATTTCCTTAGTGCAATGCAGCTTGAAATTGTCCATAAAAGCCTTAACAACCCGAGAGAACACTCAAAGTCTTCTCAGCATCTGAGAGCCCTACGGATCTCCATAAAATAAATGTATTTTAAATTTCTGTTTGCAAATAGCTGTGTATTCCTTGGGTAATATTTTCCAAGTTTGAGATGAACAGTCAGAAAGAAAGCCATGTTAAAGACTTAGTGTTGTATAGACCCAACCAGTTCACAGACTCTCCACTCCTTCACTCATTGTCTACATGACCATGGGCAAGTTAATCCACCTCTCAGGACCTTTTTTCCCTTACTCTCAAGACTGCGTGAGCCAACTCCCAGCATAGAGAACCCCCACCCTTGTTTCCATTTAGATTCTACACACACATTTGGAAAGGAAATAAGAGAATATTTTTCTTTATTAATGAGAAAGTCAGAACCAAAAATTTAGCTCACTTAGTACATCAGAAAAAGAGCCACTGATCAGCCTATCTCAGTGCCAAACATGGGAGAGTCTGGAAAGGAAAATGCTAAAATCTCTAATCCCATGCCCTAAGGAGAGAGAGGAAGACTGAGCTTTCAGGTTAGGCTTTCCTATCCTAGAGGCAGCCAGTTTGAGAACGGTCTCACCGGTCTCACTACAGTGTCTTCAGACTGGCTCTCGTGATTCACAAAGGGACTGAAGGAAGAGACCCAGATTTAGTTTCCATGTCCCAAAGGTTCCTAGTCCAAGACCACCGACAATCCTTTCCAAAACCCTCAAAATCCAGGGCCCCCATTTTTCACTTTAGTAATTAAAAGCAAGGGCTCTAGGGCCAAACTGCATAGGTTCAAATCCCAGTTTTGTCACTTATTAACTGTGTGCACTTGGGCAAGTAATTTAAATTTTCCTGTGCCTTACAATCACACACTAAGTCGCATACATATACACACACAAATTCTCACCCAATCACACATATATACATGGTCACACAATCACAACCATAATGTCACACACATACATACACATTAACACAAAGTCAGAGGTGATGATACACAGTTTCTCCAACAAAGAGACAGTCGCACACAATCACAGTTACATATCACACAAGACCACACACTCTATCATAATTACACAAAATTATACCTGTAGAGACAGATGGACCTGCTGACACACACATTCCAACAGTTATCTCTACAGAGGCAAGTGATGAAACATAATCACATACACACAGTCTCTCACAAACCCATCCGCAATAACACATAGTACCTGCAGAGACAGTCACAGACACACACACACTCCAGCGTTACACCAGAGTATGCAGTCCCACTCGTACACAATCACATACACACAGTGAAACACAAAATCACATTGCCACACCCGCAGCCTCTCACACAGTTATACATAATGACACACAATCTCCCCAGAGACACCCTCCTGGTCTCCGCCCGCATCCCAACCTGTCCACTCCAAGTCCGTCCCTGACCTCTGGCTCCCGAGCTAAGTCAGGCCCTACTCACCTACCCAAACCGCGGGTTCTGGAAACCCGACACCTGTCACGAGAACCGTGAAGTCGCCTCCCGGAACCACCAGCGAGCGGAGAGGAGTGGAGGTTGCGGCGGGCTGAACCTCAGAAGTCGTCTGGGGAAACATAAAGCTACAGGGTCTTGGACTACCTACCCAGCTTTTCTTTGAGACTCCGAGAACCACCAGCCCCAGAAGGCTTTGCGCCGTGGCGGTCTTTGCTGAACTACATTTCCCAGAGGGCCCGAGGCCCACGACCACCGCTGGTACCCAGGTGCGGTACCGAAGAGCAGTGTGCGACCCAGGAGACCCTGGGCGACAGACTGCGTAAGAGGAACCGACGGGGCGGCGCGCATCTGCCACTGTGTGTGCTCTGGTGTGGAGGCCTGTGTGTAATGCCGCTGCACACTTTTGTGATTGCGCACCAGGGGGTGATGGGTTCTGTTAATGTGGTGAGTTTCTGTACAGAAAATCACCTCCCGTTGTTGGGAGTCATTGTGTGATACACTGGAGGCCTGGCGCGCCGGGACTGTGAGTGACTGTGGCTGTGTGAGAGGACTGTGGCACGTTGACTGGCTCTGCACTGTGTTGTTACCCCATGGGTCGCAGGAGTTACCTATGACAGGCGGTAGAACTTTGTTTCCAGTCTTGCCTTAGGGTTGCGTCCGTAGAAGAAGTCTTTCTGTGACTGCGTGTGTGCCTGTCTCCAGATCTAACTGATCTCCCATCCCCACTCCACCCACTCCAACCGGGCCACGGGCGGGTCGACTGTTACCTTCATTTTTACAACCCTTTCCTACTTGCATCAGATGTTGTGTGGACACTGAAGGGTAGATTCTATTGGTAGGAAGATGCTTATTTGCACCAAAGCCGTTTATGTTGCAGCCCGTGGCTGCTTCCACCTTTTCACTTTACAAATTTAATTAGTGCCCAGCTTTAAGAAACTACCCATAGTCAGGAAGACAAATGTCAGCCCCTGAGTGATAGTAAAAACAGAGTTGAACAGTAATTGAAGTGGGAGAAAATAGATTTTTTTATTTAGGAACTATTTCAATAAGGGAAGAGACATCAGCATAGAATTGGGCTCAATTCCAAATACAGCAAGAACAAGCCAGGATTTATAGGCAAGGAGCAAGGTGGGGGGCGGGTGTCAGTGTATGGAAAAATACTAAGGAAATTTCAGGGTAGGGAGAAATTCTCACTAGACTGACCAAGAAGATTCTTGCCCAGGTGAGGCCAGAGTGGTCATTTATCACCTGGGTAGATAAGGAATTTAATTAGATATTTTGATCACATATTAAGAACTCTGGCTAAACCTACTTGACAGTATTCTTACAGAAACTTTGTGATGCAAAGGCAAACACTGAAGTCAAAAGGTTAAAGTCAGATTGAGAAGAGTGTTCAGAGGATCCTGACTAAAACTTTGATCAAGGAAAGAGTCTTTGTCAGTGAAAGTTCCAAAAAAGCAGCATTTTTTCCATTCACTAGACCCTGGAAGATCTGGAAGGTGCACCCTACTTAACAAGTCAAGATGTTGGTAAGTAGGGATATGTGGAAGGAAGGGGAAGTTCTTGAAATGAGAACCCATCCTTGGAGAATATTCTCTCTAATCCCCTCCCCACAAAGAGCCTCTGATTCAGGCAAGAGACTCGTGGACAAAGGGAGTCTGGCTACTAGGGCTGAAGAGATTTGCTGTTTATGAAATTGGGCATAGTTACTTTTATGGAAAAAAGCAAGCAATTGTTTTTGTCTTTAAGGTTCTATAAAAATTTAATAATTAGATTGCTTTAATGGGAAAATTTACTAGTTAGGTATTCTTTGGATGATAATTGTGATTTGGTACTGGTACATACATCACATAACTGTTCCCTGGACTTGATTACCATACAGGTTAGAGATCATCTTGGACATTTCAAACCAAAATGTTAGAAATTTAAGGTGACCCATTCTTTATTTAAAAATTACTTTATTGTTGTTCAATTACAGTTATCTGCATTTTTCCCCCACCACTCCCCCCACCCCAGCCAAACGCACCTCCCTCCCTTGCTTCTACCCTCCCCCTCCTCCTTCTTCCTCCTCCTTTCCCTTCTTCTTCCTCTCCCTTCTTCTTCCTCCTCTTCTCCTTCCTTCTCCTCCTCCTCCTTCTTCTCCTTCTTTTCTTTCTTCTTCTCCTTCTTTCTTCTTCTTTTTTTCCCTTCTACTTCTTCTTCCTTCTTCTTCCTCCTCCTCTTCCTTCTTCTTTCTTCTTCCTTCTTCTTCTTTTTAAATAATTCTATTGCCCCTTCACTCTTTTGATTCCTCAATTTGTGTAATTAATTTCCTGTAATTAATCTCCTGTTTGAAATTCCCAGTGTAGTTCCACTTTCTTGACTAAACTCTGCTGGTGAAAGTCCCACCACAACTTATTTTTACAGTGTAACCACTTACTTAGTTGGCATACTTTGAGGACCACTGCTCTACTCTACTGGAGTTGACTGGGACCAACCAGTGTTGGACTTGATGATTTGAGATAGGAAAATAAAAGACAAAAAGTCTTCCTATGATCAATGACTGTCATATGAAGAGATACATATACAAAGTTTCTCTGAAGGCATACCTTGCCAGTTAAGAATGGGTCATTTTACAGCATGGATGGAACTGGAGAGCATTATGCTAAGTGAGGAGGAGGAGGAGGGGGAGGAGAGCATTATGCTAAGTGAGGAGGAGGAGGAGGGCGAGGAGGAAGAAGGAAGAGGAGGAGGAGGAAGAAGAGGAATGAGGAAGAAGAAGAAGAAGAAGAATGAGGAAGAAGAAGAAGGAAGAAGAAGAAGCAGCTTATGTTCTGGAGCTTGTGGACCAAAGGGGGAAGAGGTAGATTTAGCAGAAGCTAAGATCTCTGAGAGAGCTCTCAGGCTAACTGTTAAATGAGTTTGGTAGTCTAGTGCTAGGAAAGCAGAAAGAATCTGAAGGCCATCTGCTGCTAGAGAGATACTGAAAAACTAATACGGGAAGCAAGTGCCTTCTCCCTCTCTGCCTTTTAACTTTAATGTCTCCACTGGCAAATTAAAACAGGAATTCAGTTAGCAAAGAGAGACTAAGAAATGTTTTTGTCAGAGTCCTAGCCCCAGCATTACAGAATACAGAAAAGCATGCTCAAAGTTAAAACAATGACAGAGAAATAATCAGCACACAGTCCTTTTTAAATTTGCTGGAAAGTGAATTAATTCATCTACTTTTCCAATATATTTTTCTTTCCAAAATTTTTTAATATAGTTACTTATTCTTATAAAATAATCATATTAGATTACAAAATGGTGTACATTTAGCAACAGTTATCTTAATAACAAAGCAATACAAATTTTAAATTGCTTCTGTCTAATCTAATATACAGTTATTTAGATGAACTCATTTTTACCTATTTTGTTGAAATTTATATAATAAATATACATTTTCCCAACTTTGTTATTATTTAATATAAATATTTTACGGCAAATCACTAACTGCCCTCGTGACTTCATAGTGTGAGAGTCATGGCATGTGACTTTTTTGGTAAACTATTATGTACATTAGTTATGTCTTTTTTCAATTGAGATGCAATTCACATATAACATTGTGTCAACATAATGTTATATGTTCAGTTGACACATAACATGTCAACATAATGATTTGATATTTATATATAATGAAAATGATCACCACAATAAGTCTAGTTAATAAGTCTAATACTAATTAGTCTAATAATTAGTCTAGTTATCATACATAGTTTAAATTTTTTTCTTATGCTGAGAAGTCTTTAACAACTTTTAAATTATGCAATACAGTGTTATTAACGATAGTCACCATGCTGTGACTTATATCCCTATGACTTACTTTATAACTGAAGTTTGTACCCTTTGATCCCTTTCATCAATTTGCCCATATCCCACCTTACCTGCTGGCAACCGCCAATCTATTCTGTGTATCTATGAGCTTCATTTCATAAGTTATTTCATATTTGAAGGCAGTAGGTTTTGTATGAATTGAGAATGAAGTAAAATTGAGAATGAAGACCTCAAGAATGATTTCTTATCTTAGTTATTTTAATTCACCACCCATATTCTGTGCACTAGAATGTTTTTCTATAATCCTGCATAGGGAAGGATAAAAGTACAATTTTACCAAGGCTTATTTGGCACTACTTATTGAGGCATTTGTGAAGAATGCATACCCTAATGTTAATATTGGTAAAGAACCTACTCATACCACAGTTTGTGAATTTCAAATACAGATAAATAAAACACCCATGGCAAATTTCTGGCAAAGAGAATTTACATGTAATTAGTAACTTGTAAAATGTAAGAACTCTGTAATTTTCTTTGTAAATGTTATCTCATTTATTCCTCACAATACTACATATAAATATTCTTAGCCAATTTTAAAGTTGGAGGAATTGGGAATCAGAGGTGTGACAACTTAAGAAAGTTCAGACAGCTGTTTCGAGACTGGAGTCACCCATATTTACTTCTCTTTATCATATATGTATGTGTCAGTAGACCTGGACACATCATTTACTAAATTTCAGCTTCCTTAATCTGAGGAATGCTATTTTAAGTGTTTGGCTACATTCCCCTAGAAAGTATTTCAAAACATAATGTACCAGCTTTTGCATTTATAAGCTGAAATTTAAAATATTTTCTTCTTAAGTTTAAATAACAAAGATATTTGTGCCATGTTGTATGTATGTATGTATGTGTTTTTTATTGTTCAGTTACAGTTGTCCCCATTTTCCCCTATTACACTCCCCGTGCCCTACCCACACCACCCTCCCTCATTCAATCCTCTCCCCAATCCCAATTGTCTTTGTCCATGGGCCTTTTATACAAATTCCTTGACAACCCTTCCCCTTCTTTCCACCGTTATCCCCCTCCCCCAGCCCTTCTATTCACCATCAGTTTATTCTTTATTTCCATGTCTCTAGTTCTATTTTGCTTGCTTGTTTATTTTGATGATTAGGTTCCACTTATAGGTAAGATCATATGGTATTTGTCTTTCACCCCCAAGTTTATGTCACTTAGCATAATGATCTCCAGATCCATCCATGCTATTGTGAGGAGTAGAAATTCCTTCTTTCTTGCTGCTGCATAGTATTCCATTGTATAGATGTACCACAGTTTTTTTTGATCCACTCAT